CTAAGAGCTTTGGGTGTGATGCTCCAGCGGATGGCCTGTACCTTAGAGTCATTCGTGCTTGCCAGAAGTTCTGGAAGAACTTTCCACGCTTGGGTCCCCTCAGAGCATAACATGATGTAACAGCAAATTAGAATAAAAAAGGAGAGACTAATAAAATTAATCCGAATGTATTCAGCAAAGACAATCGTGAGTGAGTAGTGTTACATTTATCCTGACAAATTGTACTACTCCTCCTTCACATGGCAATCACAGGACCCTGAAGCCAGTCTGCCAATTGGGTTTTTGCCTTATAAGTAGATGCCTGAGGAATGGTTAGAAAGTTGGCTCTATTTTTGAGAGCTGAACTGAGGTAAGATTATTTTTACATGAAGCATGTAGTATTATGTTGAAGTTGGATAACGCAGTTCAGCGAAAGGGTTCCCTGTAGAATTCCTTTGTGAGTTCTCCATATAAATTTTTTCTCCTCTCTCTGCCCCTTCCCTCTCTCTCTCACTGTGTTTTCTATAGTCTTTATCACTGATGTACCTAGATGTTTTCAAAAATAAATTAGGTTCTTGGGTCTTAATTCCCTTCTATTTGTCTGGGTTATTCAAGATTTTCTCACTTTGTTTAAAAGAAGATTGTTTAGAAGAAGAATGTTTCCTCTCACTTAGGAAGGTTTGAAGAAAGAAGGGAGGAAAAGCGTTTGTGGTTTCATTGAGCCCATGTGGAAACTTGGAAATAATATTACCTTTATCTGCTCTGTGTAATATTTTCTGTAAAATACATCTCTAATAAAACTACATTTTTCTAATTGTACCTCGCCACCAGCACAGCTAAGTGTTCTTTTCCTTGCTTCGTGCTGCCTTTTTTGCGCTCCCTTTACTTCTGGCCGGTGATTCCAAGTCCATCACCCCCTCTTTCTTTTGACTCACCTGAATAGATTTCTTTTGAGCAACGTATGAGGCACTTCTCATACTGCTCCACATCTTCTCCTGCTCCTCCTGGCGACAGAACATGCATCCAAATTCTAAAGAGAATATTATGTCTAGAGCTCTGCATGGTCTAGATCAGCCTGCTGATTGTGAGTCTACTTAAAATGTAATCATACTGATTTCAGTGCTCCATATCTTGTTAGGAGCTTTCGTAATGCATGTGTATGACTACAAAATTAAAAACTCTTCCCTCTGTTGTCTCAGTCTTCTACTGCTGGAAACTTAGGTCACTGATGGTGAACCTTATGCACAGTGCTTTTGATCAGTTAAGAACTACACATATGTCCTATTCTAACCCTATGTGACTCAAGGGCAGCTACGTATTGCACTCATCAGCTGTCAGTCTCGCCATATCTGCACATTTCATAAATAGTTATGCAGTGTAAATATTAATTAAATAATATTAAGTAAATATTAAATAAATAAGGAAGAAATATCTTCTCCCACAAAACTACTGTTGATACTAGACTTAATTAAAAAAAATAGAAGTTTTGCTTGGAAATCTTAGTTAATTTCTCTGCTTGAGACAAATGAAAATCTGGATTAAAAACATAATATTTCAGGTTAGTATAGGCTCTAAAATATGTTAGAGATGGGTTTCTACTCGTGAAGGATTAAATCACAGTAAAATTTGAAATCTATCTGTTGGAAATTTTGGAACTTCAGTGAGCAATTCTCTTCTAACTGACTGTGCTCCTTCTGTGATAGGTAATTTTCAGTGGAAGACCTCTTCAAACGCTGGGAGAGTCTAAATGCTGACACATGTAACTAAATGCAAGTCAGTATAGCAGGCCTACTCAGGTTTACCAGCCTTTACTTCTGCTCAGCAGAATGCAGGGAGCCTATTTTATTCTGCCAGGCCTGCAAAGTGCAGCACACTGCCTTATGCTGAGGATGGTTGCAGTTGTTGCTACTGCTTGCAACTGCAGGTAAAATCCAATATTATTTTTAGTATAGATACACATATATATATTATAATGTATAGAGGTAGTTATATTTGGAAATGGTAGTTAGGGCTTCTAGTGGCATGTTTGTGTGATTGTGATGGTGACCTTTCTACATAGATATAAGTACATGAAATGATCTGTCTGGATTTTTTTATATATACCTGATCCCACTGGCATCTCAGCACCCCCCAGATCACTAACTTCAATGCAACAATGGATTAGCTCTCCAGTTTTCTTCTGAATTCTACCTTTTTTCGTTCTTTTCTTCTTTATAGATTATAAGGAACAGCTGGCACACTGTTATAAAAAAGAAAACTTCCAGGCACTAAAAAAAGAGACATTGGGCAGTGAGCCTATACCTGCAGAAGTTGCCTGTAATAGGGGCCTGGTGTGGCCTATGGGAAGTCTGTGCTGTAAGGTGACATCTTCAAGCTGAGGTCAGGCTGGGTTGGAAGTACTGCCAGCAGATTCTACTGAAAGAATCACACAAACCAATACATCCTGTATAATCTCTGATCAGTCTGTGTCATCTATGATAGTTTGAGCTGGCTGTGCTGATAAAGGGTCTGGGACTTCTAGTGGTCTGAGATTAGAAGAGTAGATTTTTCGGCTATGAAGTTACCTCCAAAGCTAGTGGAACTGAAGCAAAAGCTAGTCCTAACCCTAAGAACTAAGTGTTCATACGGTTTGCCACCAAAAAAAAAAAAAGTAAGCAGTAATTACAGGACTGCTATCTTGTGGAGATTACTCTGATTCCTGCAAAACATGTTTTACTCTTAGCATATATTATACCTGAGAATTAAGTTGCAAACATGCAAAAACTGAAAGATTTAAGAGTGTCTGATTTTTGCTGAATCTGATATTCATGCTTTTTCATCCTTATTCATAAATGAAATAAATTTTAAAAATCTAGCCTCTTTTAATAATTTTAGCTGCAAGAATTCTGTAGAAAAAATATCCTGTAGTGAAAATAATCAACTGATTATGTTTTTAAAAACATATTTGGAGATGAAATGCTGATCCTGTTGCTATGATCTGCGCATTTACATTGACAGGTCAGAATTTTACCCAACCTGCTAAATGAGGATGTTAGATATGTCAGTTCTTGGATGCCTTTTCTGTTTGGTGTTGGTTTTTTTGTAGCATGTCCACTAAAGATGCTTTGCATGCCCAGCTTCTCTTATATAGTGTCCACCATTCAGCTATAGAACAGAAAATGCCAATATTAATTACACTGGTTGTGGAAAGCTTAAACCCATGCAAAACCTTTTAAAGTTTCTCCATCAGTTAAATATAGTTTTGTATCCCAGAAGGTTTTCTTTTAAAAGCCACTGGAATGGACAGGATTCTCATGTATTATATTCCTCATGTGTTCATATTAGTGCCATTTCCATGCCCTTAAAAAAAAAAAAAAACAAACCCAAAACCACCCTCTCTGTCTCCTTTTGCAAACAGGCTAAAACAGTTCTAACAGAGGCATTTTGGACAAAGGCTATCTAGAACAAAGAAAATGCAATATCCAGAATTATTTTTTGTTCTGTTTCTGAGGAATATGTCTGGTATCCCATTCAAAGCCTGATATTGCATGCGTCTAGTTCTCCAATATCCTACTAATACGGACAAACATTGCAAAATAGTAATTTAAAGGTATTAGTTGGTTTCAAAATGAAAATTTGCTCTGGCCAAAGTGAGAACTTTTGAAGAATAAGAACAGGATGCCCGTCATAGGAGGGAAATGCCCAAGGTTTTGCTGGTGAGTGACAGCAAGGTATTTCTCAGCACAAATGAAATCTAACCTGTCGTGTGGTGCTGACGTTTTTAACGGGAAGCTTCCTCAGAAGGTGCTAACTTCAGTCATGGCACCACATTCTCTGAAGAACAAGTATCCTCCCCACACTCTAAATGTTTCAGCCCTCCATGAACTAAATATCACTTCCCCTTGTAACTCCGGGTGCCTTTTGATACTCCCACATCCCTTCAAGTGAAAAGAACGGTGTGAGGACGTGTGTCTTTACCAAGGGTAAAGAGCTCCCTAGAGCCATTTATCTGTCTCCCTTCCAGGGTGAGGGTGTGAATTCCTAAAATCATGGCCATTTAGGAGCCCGTTGCAACAGAAAGGGCCATGACTAGTTCTTTGGAAAAATGGCATATACAGCTCCTACACAAAGATGCCAAACATTTCTCAATTTCAGTAACTTTGTGCTTCTGTTCCCATGGAAACAAGTGGTGGATTAACACAAACATGGTAATAGACTTGCTTGCAAGTAACAGTGTTATAAAGGAAGACCTACAGATATACCTGATGAGTGAAGATTTTGGTTTCAGTTTTCTTATCCAAATGATAGCTTTACACTAAATACAAACATTTTTGAAGTCTACTTCACGTCTTACCTGTAAGTTTCCACCTTAAAGTTCATACATCATTCTGTTTTTTTATATTCTCTAATACCAGATATTAACGGAGATTGTTTCTGTGTATTCCTATTCTTAAATTGCAGTCCTATGTAAGATACCAGCCTGCCTTAGAATGAATTAAAATACGGAAATGCTTCAGCACGGTGCTGTGGAGCGCTAGTCTGATTTATCAAGCTTATTAGGTTGAGTACTCCACTATGTGGAACAAAAGGCAGACCTTTCCAAAGAGGTGAATTTCATATGAAAAATATCAGAGTGATGCAGACAGACAGAGAAACTCAATAAAAATGTAAAATAAACAGCAGCCAGCCTTGCTAGGCAATAGTCTCGACACAGCAACCCAACTGTTTTTGAGTTTTTATGCTGATCACAGGAAAAGAGAGGATAAGGTGTTTTATGGATGTTTGTGAGACGCTGTTCTTACTTCAGAACAGAAAGGTTAAGTGATTTGCCTGGTTCCACGCAGTAAGTAGAGGTCAGAAAAGGGGATAACTTGTAGCCTTTCAGGCTCCCAGTTTTGTGGCCTGTTAACTGTAACAGATCTCCAATGTCTCTAAGTATTTTCATACCTAACAGCACAAAAAAGGAAAACAGAAGTATATGTTTTGAATTACTTGATCAACATTTTTAAAACAAAAGGAAATAAAATTGTTTTCCTTTGTAGGATTTTGACCTGAACAACGAACTGAAAATGAATGTATTAAATTTGCTGGAAGAAGTTTTGAGAGACCCAGACCTTCTCCCGCAAGAAAGGAAAGCTACTGCAAATATACTGAGGTAAATAGGTTTCTAGTTATTTATTATAATTGTAAACTATATTGTTTGAAATAGATTTACTAATATACAGTGCAGAAATCATAGAGTTTGCTTTTGTCTGGAGTACTTGATTTGGCAGGATTATTATGTGCTTTATTAACCATAAAACAGGCCAGATATGGAGTCTCTTCTTCATCCAGTAGCAAAATACAGGCAGCTCTCAGGTTGATTTGTAGTGATTGTAGTTAAGTATACGGCAACATTACACAACAGGAACTAAAGAATAATGAAGCAAAGAATGATTTGGGTATCTGCAAAACAGACTGAGGAGAACTTAGCAATGCATATTATTTGCAATGTGCTAAAATTCATTTGGAATTTGGTCATTCTAGACAACCATCAGATGTCAAAATGTGTGTTTTAAGTTTTGTTCATGAATATATAGCTCTTCAAAATTTCACTTCAGAACGTTTGCCAGCCATTGGTTCAGTCTTTGTGCAATAGGGAAAAATGCTACCCAATAAAGCAATAAGACCGCTGATTAGACTACCTTGGAGATCTCCTTTCTCAGGAGTGAGCAATCCACCCTGCTAAGCCTAGTATGTCATGACATAGTAATAAGACCATGCTTGCAGCTTCCTGTGTGTTGACAGCCATGTCTAAAATTCTTTGGGTATCTTACAGAGAGGAATTGCTGTTTAATTAGTGGGATAAAATGAAAGGCCTTCAAGTTTCTGCATAACTGGGAGTATTTGTTACTTAGGGATGAAACACCTTGCTCTGTTACTTAGGACTGGTATTTCATAGTTGACTGCCTGATCATACCAGGAGAGAGACAAATATTTGTATGCATAGATCAGCGAGAATAATTCAGACTAGTGAGTGTGAGCATTTTGTAGGAAAGAATGTGATTTTCATGTACATTGTTTTACATTAATAAGGAGCAATAAAAAGATAGGACTAGGCAATGGGTAAAACAAGATACAATTGAAAAGCACAAATTAATCTATGACATGCTGTGTTAGTATTTTTGTAAATATTCTGCTGGAAAGCCAACAAGGGTGCAGTAAATACAGAGTGTCTGAATTTTCTAAGAACATTTGGCAGGTTTCCCCATCAGATATTTATGTGAAAAAGAATGTCAGAAAAATGAGGAGGAGGTTGTTCACCTGGGAGGAAAAAAGTTAAATAAAGCAAAAGAAACAAACATAGATTCTTAAAATAAGCTCTTCGTGTCAATGGGACACTACTTAATTTTTTACATTAATGAAAAGAAGTCTCTTTTTGAACTGTATTATATTCATGTGCTATTATTGAAAGTTAAAACAAAAAAGTGTGTTTCATGTATATTCTTGGAAGAAACGGCAAGCAAGAAGAGCCTGAAGTATAAACAAAAAGGTTTACATACATTGTTGTGTAATGGGTTTTAATAATATGTCTGATACCAAAGTTTATGTCAGTTTGCTCATAGTGGGGAAAATTACCTTAAGACCTTTAGCTTCTTAAAAAAATAGGAATCTGAAAGAAACCTGTCTATTCCTAGCAGAGAAGTGGGATAGATGTGTATGTCTTTAAACATAAAAGTTTATCAATTTCTGTAGAAACCATTAGCTATTACATCCAAAAATGGGACGTCAATAATTATGTGTAATTATGTGTAATTATGTGAGTTCCTCCCATCTTTTTACTGCTACTCCATGAAATGGTAGGTTTGTTTTTCAACTCTTTCCTTCTTCTAAGTGTATTGTATATGCTAGTTAATACAATTAATCAGATATTTCCATTAAAATTTTTAAATGAAGACTGATTTTTTGACCATATTGTGAATTTTCACACAGTTTTTCTTCTGGCAAAAAGAAAAAAAGTGAAATTTCTTAAGAAGTGAAAATTCTGAAAAAGTTCTATATTCTATTTTTAAATACTGAGAAATGGGGAGAAATAAAATAAAAAGAAAGTAGTAATGAAACAAAAACCTAAAAGATTCTGTGCAATTAAAATGAAAAAATGAAGAAAGTACACACAGAAGTTGAACTAAAAGTAATAATTAAGAATTAACTCCTTTGAAATATTTTGTAGAAACATTGCATTTTTTTAAATCTTTCTTTCATAGCCATTGTATCCTCACAGTATTTCTGGAAAGTATTATGGCACTTTATTTTACGGGCAGGCAAGTAAAGCACAAATAAAGTGACTTACCTGAGTTCTCAATGGGAGCTTCTATGGGAATCAGGTAGAGAGTGAAGATTTGCTGAGATGTGGTCCACAGCAAAGCTACCTTTCATCATGGGTTGCAGCTGTATACCCTGGTCCTCTCAGATTTTTCAAACCACATAGTTTCATTACAGATTTAGTTGTACAAAGTGATAAGTATTTGGTTATTTCCCACAAAGTGGCATTGGAAAAAGAGCCATTGGTGGCTTAGTATGTGGAGCTAGTCTTTTTGGCTCAATGCTGCATGAATGTTCCTTTCCTTCAGAATGAAGTATGAAATCAAAGCCTTAGCTAACTGTGGTTATTTAAAAACCTGCATTAGTTTTCATGACTCTGGCAATGCTGCCAACCTGTATGCATCCTGGCCAACATGTATGTTGAATATTTCCCTAATAGCTATTTAAAGTCCAGTAAATGCCGATGACGCAGTGTTGTTGTTCCGAGGATTTGAACTGTCGCTGTATTTCATTTTATGTCCATATTTCAGTAGCAGCTGAAATTACTCCTGTCTATATCCTCTATATGTTTATCATTTATTTATTTAAACTGCTTTTTTTTTTTAGACTGTTCATAAACTTTCAGATAGAAGTTGTTGTATAAGTATTACTTACATAATAGTCTAGTAGTCATATTGACTACTCTGTAGTCAATAGAACATCAGGATATATTCTCCAAGTTAAAGATGTTATCACATTAAACAAGCTGCCTCAAGGTCTTATACCGAGCAGACTAGGTAGTCTGAAGCTCTTGAGCTCTCTCCAGCTACATAGGAGACAGTTATTTGCTAGATATGTCAGATTTGTTAGCTGTTAGCTAGTCAGGAGAAATTAATTCTCCAGGAGTCTGAACTGTGAGAAAAAAAGTATTGGATCAATTCTGATCGTGGCCAAAAATCATTCAACCAGGGTGAAATACAAAGATAGGTCATATATCTCACCCATTCACTGAAGGGAGAAACTCTGTTAAATCACCTCAGGAAAATGGGTTGTCTAACAATTAAGAGCAATTTCCAAACTTTCAAAAAGCACTCTAGTTACTCCCAAAGATATATTCTCAGCAAGGCTATATAGTTAACTAAGAGGAGAAAATAATAGAACTTTGGAGATAATCTGTAACTGAATGAACTTGCATATGCCTGACTACGGAGCAAGGCTAATGAAACAGGGATGAGGATTCCTTTACTCTTCTAGAAGCCTTCATTTTTATTGCACATTATTAAGATAATGGTACTTATAAGCTTAAAAAAGAATACTCCCTTTGCTAGTGCTAAGCAGTGACCTGTTATCCCATGTAAGGCTGTGAACACACACTTCTGGCTAATTCTAGAGGTGTGATCTCAGGCACAGTCTCGGCCGCTGGAGCAGCAAGACAGGACTCCCTTTGGTCCTCCAACTTCTCAGCTTGTCAGTGGATTCAGAGATGAAACCAACTCTAAACTGTTCTTTGAAAAGTTAACTTTTCAGTATCCCAGAATCTAACACTGAGAAGTAGTTTGTATCAGGAGGGCTTGGCTTTTCTGGTAGGCTGAAAACAGTATTTGCTCAATTTTGGAACTGATTTCATGAACAACGAGAAACCAACAGAAACAGAAGAAACAGCACCCACATGCTTAGATTCTATCTAACCAAGCTTTTGAACCAAAGAGGCATCCAAGTTTTCTAGGGCCAGAAGTAGGAAGTTTTCTTTGTCTTTGCGGTGACCACTGAAAAATAGAATAGTGCTGGTGCAAAAAGGGGACATGATAACAAAGAAATGCAGATGCCTCTCCTAGTTCCACGTCTAGCTCTGGAACCAGGTCAAGGGAAACACGCAACATGTTTTTCCCTAGGCTGGGAGAGTTTTCCCTATTACTTGCCTCTGTAGGTTACTGTTTCTTGCAAAAACGACAACCAAAATGGTGCTCCTCCGTACCCAGAACTGGCAAGTTTTAAGCAGACACTCCCAGACTGCACCAAGACATTGTAAGAAGCCAGCATGTTCTATCCCAGTTCATGCTTCAAATGGTCACTGGTTTTCTTATGCATCAGATTACAGATTTGCTGTCATTCACCAACCTGGCAGACGATATTCAATATTCTGGATGTTAAAAGGAGGCATGTAATGGAATAAAATAATTTCTTAAGTTTCTTGAACTGTCCACAAGTTATAATGGCAGGGTGAGGAGAAACAGAGTTCCTCTCAGCACAGACCTAGAAAAAATTCCGTAGCAGGACCCACTCTGTCCAACTGAAGCACCTAGTTAATAACAAACAGTAGACACCTAATGAAGCACCCAAAGTATTTCCCTATCTAGTCAGAAGAAGATTCTGTCCACTGAACTTGTCTAAAATTAGGCAGACCGACTGTTCCTCTGGAGATCATCTTCCTTTTTCTGACAATTAAGGAGTATAAGTATTGACTTGAGGAGGATCTGAATCCCACCCTAGAAGTCCTAAAGGTAGAGTATCTAGTCTGTCTTGTTGCAGAAATGTGTAGAGCTGCTTTCAGGTATTCTGTTCCTCTTTTGGCTCAAGTTCCAGTGTCTGATTTGGAGAAATCCATCACCACTACACATCCACCTGCCTGCAAAGCTGTTATCTGTTTGGATTTCTCCTAGATGGAGGGCTCTCACCTGACATTACTTAGAAGAGGAGTGTAAATTAACCACCATAACTGAAGAGTTTTTGACTGTTATTACAAATGAATTTCTTTAAAGATTTTTGACAATATTTTTATGTGAAAGCACAAGTTGGTCAGTACTGAAACTTTTGATGAAACTTCCCTTCAGAGGGTTTCTCTGGGCCAGGATGAAAACAGGAAAAGGGATGAGCCAATTAAAGTGCCCCTCGTGAAAATAATCATTGGTCAGTTGTTAGGTGAGTGCCATAAAATTGGCTTTTTAGTTATTCTGAAGGGGTGCTTGCTGTCTGCCTTTACGTCAAAAAGGCTTTGACATATCCAAATATGTAGTGAATCAAAATTCTTTTTCACCAGTCGGCCCTTACTGTAGGTTTTAATTTCAGTTTTCATAGGCTACCCTAGTTACTGAAAAGGAGAGGAACTCAGAGTGAGGTTAGGAAAAGTGTTTTTCCTATTGCACGTTCCATGTGCACAGATTCATGAAAGTTAGCGCTTTCTGGAGGGTTTTGAAGTTCGAGCCTCTGCACAAGTATATTCCATGGACTAAATCCTTGAAGGCTGTTGAATACTGATGTCTCTTTTTAGAAACTGCCACAGCCTTTGTGTCTATGCATATATGCATGCGTATGCATTTCTTGGGAAATTAGTCCCTTTCAAACGTCTTTGTTAGCAGAGATTAGAGGAGGAAAGGTGGGCTTGCATGGTGGGCTTGTATTCCAAAAATATTATGGTCAGCTCTGGGAAAGACACAGTATAGAAACTGAATGGCAGAGAAAGTGTTTATGAGAGTTGCTAAACTGCTTCATGCCTCCTTGAGTCATCAAACAGAGCAGCTGGTATTTCTCACATGATGAGATATTTGTTGAATGGACTGACAGGATATCTCTGCAAGGCAGAAAAGTTTCTTTTTCTTTTTGTTCAATGTTATTCCTGAAAGCTAGACAAGCTTACTGAAGTATGTTTTGTTTGAGATTTGATTAGCTTTGTTTAGTAAACTCTGAAATCTAGATAAAATTTCTGACACCAAGGCAGAAACAGGCTGCAAACACTGAAACAGGAAGATTTATAGTGCAAACTGAACAGCAGTGAATAACTTTAGACGATGAACAGTCCTACCTGGGAAAAAAATGATTCAAGAAACATTTTCTACTCTTTCTTCCTCAGAATAGATGTAAATGAAATCCAGGGATATGCAGAGATCAATATTTGATGGATGACCAATTTTCTACCCAGTATGATTTCACCAGACAATACATTTCAAGCTATGTAACTGATACCAGCTTTTAAAATATTTTATATAGACTAAGAGAATGAGGAGGCAGATAGTTTGGGTCAGATTTCAATATTTTCTGCTAGAAAATAGTTTTAATATTTGTGCTGTTCAGGCATGAAGAATAGTTTAAAGGAGAGAGACAGCTCTAAGGTTAGCTGCTAACTCTTAAGAATTAGAAAGTTATTTCTTGTGTAGTCACTTCCTTCATGTGTAAGGATAACCACAGAGGTGGCACTCCATTCACTCCTCACTGTGAGGTGCACTGTTTTAGCAGTCATGCAAAATCTTTCCTTACCCTTTCCTTTCTCTCATTCCTCTTTTCACTCCGACCTGAGCTTCTTACCTCCCTGAGGAGGCCATTCAGGGAGTCTAACAGGAACTACTCAAGCAGAACTGGGAAGCTGGATACATCTTCCTAGACCTCTATTGAAACAAAGTACCCTAAGGGCAGCAACAGTGCAGATGGAAGTGGAAGCCACTACTGAAGCTGTCAGAAAGTAATTTTATCTAGTTCAGAGAGGTGCACTGCTCTCTGAAGATTTAAACTTAGCGCATATATGGATAAAAGGAGAAGCTTGTCCACAAGAATGTTATGTTAGAGGTAAAGCACAAGATACCTGTTTAGAATGAGGAATTCTAAATTAATTGAGGGAAGACTATTTATGTAATACATGACACATGCCATGTTAGAGAGTATCAGGAAGCAAAAGATGGGGAAAAGTCAAGTGCTTAGAGCCTTTTTAACCTTATCTTTCCTATTTTATTTTGTATTAAGCAAGTACAGTCTTTTCTATGTCTAAGATAAAAACTCCAGCCTATGTGGAGTTTTATATATTTGTATTTATATAAGTAACTCAAATGAGTTTACAAGATTACTTGAAGTACTTGGGGGAGAAGGGCACACCCTCTTTTTTTATTGCCAGAAAAGCACATGCACTTGTCATATGATGAGCAGTACCTTTCTGCAGGCAATCAGTCATGAGATCCAGCACAAAATAAGCTGCTAAGGAAAGACAGATTGCCAATCTATTTACAGTTCCTGAGGATGCACACTGTTGTTCTCTGGAGAAGACACTGAGGGTTCTCCTGAAGAAGAAAACATTCAAGACTTTGCACAGCTTGCCTATGAGACGTAACGCATTTCCAGCTCCTGTGAAGAAAGGGGCATTTTGTGTGGATTTCACAGGCTGAAAACAAAGGCAAGGAGGATTCTTAGATTCTTTGTGTATCTGCATTTAGTTTTAACCTAGACCATTTCCAGTTTGGCAAACCAAAAGGAAACAACAGCAGCCCACAACAGAAGAACCTGGTGTTCTAAGCGTTAACGCTTCCTTCCCCCCCACATAGTACAGATTCCATCTCTTAGGCTCATTGCTAAAGTCTCCAGGCAATATAATCCTTTTCTTTTAACCCTTTCCTCAGCTGGTACATGGAAAGTCTTGTTTCTACAGAGTGCAACAATAAAGAATTGAAGCGACAACAAGAAAATGCTTAGTCCAGTTGCTCTGCTTTCTGGCAGGATCAGTAGAACTTGGTCCTCTTTGAAAATGGTCGTCTAAACTTCTCCTTGAAAATTCCACTGACAGGTATTCCACAACTTCTGCAGAAAACCTATTTCAGCGTGTACTGATTCTTTTGCAGTTTGATAGCTGAATCTCATGTTTAAACTAAATCTCCTTTGATGCAAATCAGTCCAATGCGTCCTTGCCCCATCGCTGGTGTTCTCTTTATACCCAGTCTTTTACATATTGTTCTCTCTCCCTTGATCTTTTTTCTTAATTATATAAATCCAATCTATTCAAGCTTTCCTTCTAGTCTATATTTTCCAAATCCTTTATCATACTTGCTTACTTGGACTCATAGCAGTTTATATTTGTCATATTGTGGTGCTCAGACTGGACATAGTACTGCAGCTGAAATCTTAGGAATGCCAGTAGAGTAGAATTATAGATTACCTGTGCTTTACATAGGATATACTTTTACTGCAACCTGAGACGTCACCAGCCTTTTTTTCTACAGCATTACATTATGATGTCAATTCCCAGAAATCCTTTAGGACGGGACGCTCCCAGGACTGAGGACTCATTGAACTGAATGCTCAGCATTGAGAGCTTTCATTAGCAGGCTAAATGGCAGGCAGAAAATGAGGGGATAAGATCTTAGAATTATGTGCCAAGGTACTACAGCAGACTGGATAGGATTCAGTGGAAGAGTAGTTACTTCTGCTGGATTCATTTTTGACCCAGCACTCTGAAATCACCTTAATAATCACAGGTTTACTACGGAACAATTGAAATCATGGATTAACACTTGTATTACTGAAAGCAAAGCACGCACTAGCTGCAAGTGAAATGTACTAGCAGTTTGTTTTCTGTTTCCACGCTCTGAACTGTTCATGTGGGTCAGCCAATGGGATGGTATAGCGCCAATAAAAAGGAACACTTCCAGAGAACCATTCTTTTATGCATGCTTATTGTGCTGTCTTGTCGTCTGAAACGTCCATTTTTCAAACATTTCCCAAAGATATCATTTAGTACAGAGTTTAAGACTCAGAGAAAAAGCTTTGGGATGTAATTTTTTCCTTTAGGTTTCCTAGGATTATTCAGCATTAGGAGAGCAAATATTTTTATTATTGTGTTCTTTCTGCTTTTGTAGTGCCAGTCCAGTTCTTAAAAAGAGAGTTGAAATTTGTCCATCTCACTTCTCATCACTGTAGTCAAAATTGGGTAGATGCAGAAACCTTATGGCTATAATCAGCAAATTAGTACAATAATTAACAACACTGTATTGTCGTTGACCATTCTGTGGTATATGCTGTTCTTAGGCCAGCAATTTTAAGCCTCCAAGACCAATATTTTGGCTTGCATGACTCTGATATTGTACTATTTTATACACTTTATTTAAAATCAGAAATTAGTTTTCAGATGCAAGAAAGTTCTTTTTTCCCTTAGTTCTTCAATTGCAGTCTTAGGATTTAATTTAGATAAACATGATTGCCAAACTGTGATAAGATTTTCTCATAACCATAGATGTTATTCTTTATATGGGATGCTCTGCCACTTAATTTTTCAGAGCCCTTTCTCAGGATGATCAAGATGATACCCAATTAAAAATAGAGGATATAATTCAGATGGTAAGTTCTTCATGAAATTTATACATAAATATTCCTATAGAATTGTGGTATGTTTAAGTCACTAAAATGTATCACAGCTGCAGCTTTGCAACTCTGGACAGAAATACTGTTGTTTCATAATAGGAATGTACCTTTCAATTTAGAGAAAGTAAGAATTTGGAGCCTCTATCAAAGATGAACAAGTCAAAACTTTAGGTTTTCATTTTAAATCATGATGCAAAAAAATGGGTAATACATGAATATATATGAAATGATAGTATCTGTCACCTCTGCACAGTAAAGCAGCCATCAGAACCATAGTTGGCCTTCATTGACAAGGCCCATCCTCCAAAGTGTAGTTACCATCACCTCAAGTGCATTAGATTAATCCAAAGAAAGATGGACAATGAACTAGATGAAGAGTGGTTATATAGAACGTAATGTAGAATACAAAAACTTTAATTTATCTACATACATACTCATAGTTTAGTATAAGCTATGTGCATGTTTTCCTGCCAGTTTCCAGCCTGATGTTGTTAACAATTTTTTGCTCAATTCTTATTCCTTTGTCACAAAGAAGTTAATTACAGTTATGTGTTGAAAGTGTATATGAAGTTCTTAATACTCTGTACTTTGAAACGCTCTTTGATATTAGAGGAATCACTAAGTCTTCTTATTTTTTGCAGTCAGAATGTCCAAAACCAGAGTACTTTGAGACTTTGTCAGCTATGGAGCTTGCAGAGCAAATAACTCTTTTAGATCACATAGTTTTCAGAAGCATACCCTATGAGTAAGTGTTCTCCTACGCTTGATTGAAGTGAGTACTTTGGATGAGTTACTGACTGGAAGTTTTAGCCGCTGCACTAATTCATGTTACTGACATTCAGGCAAAATGATTTGCATACATAACAGAATAATGTCCTTCGGCTATTTTTGTCATTGCTTATGATTCTTCATAATCTGGTCATGTTTTGAAAGATTGAGTTCATTCAGTTTGTTGCTAAGAAAAAATCCATGGTGTAAGGCTCTGGGCTGGTGATGGGTGAATACAGTAGGGAAGTGCTGAGTCTCTGGAGAGGGAGTGTCAAATCAGCTTCATTCATACAGCAGTTTGCCACTAATATAACCATGTAAGCTGACAAGCACAATTTCAAATAAGGTCACAATGCTGAAAATTAAGACAGGAAATAGGAGAAGGGATTCAAAGAAATTCTTTACAACATTTACTACTTTGGACAGCATTAGTAATGGTACAGTGAAACGTTGGAATTAGTGTAAGCTCTGTTATTAGCTTCTAAGAGAATAAAGTATACTTGAAATCCACTTAGGCTACAGTTACAGACAGAGTCGTAGTGTGTTTATTAGTGACGTTTTTGTTTGTTTGTTTTTTTTCTCAACCCTCAATTTCTAGAGAGTTTCTTGGGCAGGGCTGGATGAAACTGGATAAAAATGAGAGAACACCCTATATTATGAAAACTAGTCAACACTTTAATGATGTAAGTACTCATAGAAATATAGATTGCCTTTTAGGAACTCTCTTGACACTTTATATGACCTCTGGAATGTAAATATCTTTTTCTACAATGTAATATAATTTCTTATGTAGTAGTAACTGAATGTTACAACCTTTCTGTGATTAACCTTTTAAATCAAAGTATAGAAAGATTCTCATTTTTATGAATTGCTGCTCAGAAGTTCAATGGCTATTTAATAGGTTAGAACCTTTTGAACTATTCTAAAATGACTTACTGCTTATAGAAGAAATTTTGCTCTTCAGAGACTAAATATATAAAGCCAGTTCTGTTTAATGAATGCCCTTTGAGTCTCCATCCCCGTGTTTGCTCTTTACCCATTTTCCTTACATTTTGCTAAGAGACTTTCCAATCAGTGTTAGTACTATTGGCTTGGAGACATTCCCCATTGCATCTGATACCCTTCTTTTATATTGTAATTCACCCACACTGTCCTGCAACACTGTTCTCAACATACTTTTTCTGATTTTATTAAAAGCCATAAATTTTGCTGCTCATTAGTTTTATTTTCTGCTTTGTTCATTAAACAATGGTGTTTTGAAAGTGATGATATTTAAATGTCATAAACAACTTCTTTATTTGGTCAGATGAGTAACCTTGTTGCCTCCCAAATCATGAATTATGCCGATGTCAGCTCCCGGGCTAACTCAATTGAGAAGTGGGTAGCGGTAGCAGATATTTGTCGATGTATGCACAATTATAATGGTGTGTTAGAAATCACATCAGCCTTGAACAGAAGTGCAATCTACAGACTGAAGAAAACTTGGGCTAAAGTATCCAAGCAGGTAAGAAAATGTGATTGCAAATATGGTGTGTAGATTTCATTGCTCAGTATGCTGTCCAGGGAAAAAGGTGTTGAGATATATATTCTTCCCATACATAGTTCTGCTTTGAAAATACTCTATTTGTTGAAAGCATCAACTGGTGCTGGCATTTCACTTCAAGGTATTTTGTACTTATCTTATTTTTTGTATCATCAATTAAATATTGGTAAGAACAAACTGAATTCAATAGAAGGAGGAGGAGCCTAAGTCTAAGACTTGAGCTTGAAGTATTGAAATGTCTGAGTGAACTAAATTTTGTTATTCTGTAATTAGATACATTTAGATATACACATCTAAGTGGTGAGTGGCTCCGTGTAACTGTAGTCACCTCAGGCGCTTAAAGTAGGAGCCTTTTTTCCCTGCCTGTGCGGCAAGTCCATATAGAAGAGGTCAGCACTTCCTCTCAAGATGCTGAGTTCTTTGCTGACCAGTACGAACTCTTAGATAACCAGACCTCTTTCTCATTTAGGTCCTGAGTTCAGATGCAGTGCATATCTGCTCTTAATCCTTGCCTTGCAGCTGAGGCTGTGAGCAGCATGGCTGAGACTGCCAGGAGGATTGCCAGTAACAAAGAAAAATAGAGACAAAAAAACCTAGCTAGGTTGAAGGCTATCCAGTCTTTTATGTTCCGTGTTTTAAACAGTTTGGAAGAAATTGTTTAGAAGATTTAAATCTCAGCTTTCTGTCATTTAAACATAAATGAATATTTTAGTATGATGGAATAACAGAGCAATGCAGTCCATGGAACAGAACCAATCACTTGTAATGTAGGCAGTATTTGGATACAGAGTTTACTCCAGCCAATTGGAAGATTTCAGGTTACCCCTTTTAGATCAGGCTAATTGACCTGCAAGAAGGTGAGCTTTTATCATTTCATTTCCTCCTCGAGACATTTCTGCAGCTTCAGTGTTTGCAGAGCACCCAAGCAGCTCCAGAAATGAAATCTACTCAGAATACGTTCTCAGTTACTGCATCCTCTAGTCTGCTTGATCTCAGGTGCTTTATAGCCAGTGATACTTTCTTTTATTAAAAAAAAATATTTAAACCCAGTCAATATAAACTCTTAAAAGAGTTTACCACAAAAGTGCTTTATGTTTAGGGTTTGTTTGATTTTTTTAAACTCTAGCATTAAACATTTAAAAAAACAGATTAATCTTGTTGCACACCTCTCCAGTGCCTAGTGGAAACATTATCTGACTATTTTATCAGCCTGTTATCATAGAAGAATAGCAAAGTGTCTTTTTCTGCCTACAGCTTTCTCTTGAATGGAAATCCGGTTTCAAATGTGACAAATTTCTCATGATTCTTCATGCTGTCTCAAGTCTATAGCATAAAAAATAATGAAAAGCTATTTTTTTCACTTACTAAGCAGCTAAGTCATTATGATACCCACTGAAAATAATTCTTATAAGATAGTAATATCTTTGCCAATATGTATTCAGTTTTTGTCGGAAACTTGGAGGCAAATTCGGTTTTAAGAACTTCAGCCAGCTTGGTGCAAGCTGTGAGACAGTGGACATCCTTTACTCTCAATAATTGCAGTAAATTCAGTTGAGGATCCTTAGCAACATGTAAGATAAGGTCTCAAATATCCTTCTAAACACAGTAAAATGAATTTCTGACCATTAGTTTAATGAACTTTTTTCCTGAATTTGCTAGCTAATAATATTAGTGTAGATAGTTTCTTTATATCACTCAAAGGAAGATCTTCAACACTGCCTAATCTCCATTTTCAGAAATACATTAGAAACGACAGTGAAGCTAAGTTCCTAATGCCTACATTATTATTTTTGAAAATGGAATGAAGATGCTAAGTGAATTATGTCTTTTTAAAAATCTAATCCCCATCATTCATGTGCCACAGCAATGACATTTGTGATGTGCTCTCTTTCTAGACAAAAGCTCTCATGGACAAGCTTCAGAAGACTGTATCATCTGAAGGAAGATTTAAAAATCTTAGAGAAACACTAAAAAAGTATGCTTCCCTACATAATACAATTGTATTGCTATGAACGGTGGTTACTACATGTTAAAGATGAGTTGGCATTGAGTAAGATTTAATAATTAATATAATATTTTACCTAATAACCTTTTAAAATCTAATTTTATTCTATTTGGGATTATCATTTTGCTGAATATCCTGTGATTTAGTACCTCTGACAGATAAATATAATATCTCTGGAGCATTGCTAAAACAGATTAAAGTATTATTCGGTATGAAGTATTCCCAGTTCCAACAAACTTTCTCAATAAGTGCAAGACCAGGTTTATAACTAAAGGTTCATATTCAAGAACATCTTAGAGAGTTCATTCTAATGATTCTGTAGAGTTCTTGTTCCAGATAAGAGATTTAGAACTTAAGAATATTCGTGAGTCAGATCAAAGATCCATTCTTGTCTCAGACAGCAGCAGCTGGTAAATGATACATAAAAACAGGAACATAAAAAAATGGAACATAAAAACAGGACAAACGTACAATGATATTTCCTCTCCTATACCCTCCCAGGCCCTTCTAGTCTGCCATTTTGGAATTCATGAAAAGAGTTTGTATCTTTTTGTAATAGTCCTGGAAATATTTTTCTTTCATTGATTTGCCAAATGGTGTTTGACCTTAAGTAATTTTGGTATCCAAAATGTCCTGTGGTAAGGGTTCTACAGTGTATGCATGTACTGTCTCCAACTGCTTGCATGCAAAATCGGTATTTTTGCTGTTTGCAAGTCTGAATTTAGAAGTAGGCTTTCCAGAGCTGAGTGATAGAATTATTTTAAATCATCTTGAGAGAAGCAAAGAATTGAACTATTTAAAATAGTACTGAATGTTTAAAAATAGATATGGTTCAAGTTAGTCAATTTTTAGTCAAAAAATTACTGTTGGGGAACGAATCACTTTTTAAAAAATTATTTTACTCATGATGTATGGGCAAGTACTTTCATACAACTTTCAGTTAATATATTGCCTGCCTCTGTACAACAAGTACCCTCATAATATGAAGAATGCCTAGAATGATGTGCACTGCTAAGTGTAGTCAGCAGAGTGCCTAAGTTAACAGTACAGCCATGGCCCTGCTCTTTACTTTTCTTACACCAGAGCTTCAGAAAACTAGGTTTGCTGCTGTTGCTGCTGAGGCAAGAATCAGCAAGTGTGGAGTGGCAAATACTGCTTGGGAAGAAAGAGTGGCTCCTTTACAGAAGCAATAATCATCACCCCACTCCTCCTCTCCCACAAGAAAAACAAACCCCAGTTCTCTAGGGTCTATAATCCTGGTTTTTCAGATCAGCTTTGCTACTTCTCCATCCTCCTCTTTCCTCTTTGTATGCACTGTCAAGAAGGTCTGAATAGACTTTGACTGAATGGAATATGTGTAATAAAGAGTATGTGTGAGTTACAGAAATATTAGTTTGTAAATTTAGTCATAGTCAAATATGCTAATTTCTTATCCTGCAGTTGTAACCCGCCTGCGGTTCCCTACCTTGGAATGTACCTAACAGATCTAGCATTTATTGAAGAAGGAACACCAAACTTCACTGAAGAAGGCCTTGTCAATTTTTCCAAAATGAGAATGGTAATTTTCATTTTCTTACATGCTTTCCCCACAGGTGTTTAATTACATGAGTTAATAATTGATTTAATTACAACTGCTATGAATTTATCTTCTAAGACTTCAAATACATTTGCATCGTGCAAGATACACAGCTATTTGAAAGCAATTACTTGAACCCGGTCTTCTATCACCACCTTCTGGTAACCTGAGGAATTTTGCAGTGGGAATTCTGCATCCAGTTTGGTATTTGAGAAGTCACAGAGACAAAAAGCAGCTGCCTTAGGCTTGTGAAGGAGCAACAAGAGTTTTATTGAGACTAATCAAAATTTGAAGAATGATTCACCAGAAAGCAGTATTCACAGTCTTTTTCAGGTGTGCTAGGGTCTGTATAAAAAAAGCATTTTAAAGATTATTTTCTCCAAATGTAATGTTGTAGAGCTCCTCAGAGAGAAGCATGGAAGCTGCTCATCTGATCTCAGGTTAATGCCCTTCTTAAAACTACACATTGCAGCAGTCACTCAAGGAAAAAAGAAAAATAATTATCGGGAGAGAGACAGTGGCCTGCTTGAGATTGCCTTAGCAATAGATGGCTAATTGAGAAAAGTGAAACCCTCTGAAGACATTAGGAGATAATCTGTGCCTGTCCCTTCCCTCCTCCCAGGAAAAGCTGCATAATTTGGTGCAAAATTCTTGCCTTATGTAGCCTAACTGAAGTCAAAATGCAGTTGTACTTACTTATATACCTGCATTCTTTTGATAGATCTCGCATATTATCAGAGAAATACGCCAGTTCCAGCAGACCTCCTACCGCATAGAACATCAGCAGAAGGTAAGGCTTTTCTTAGATACTGTTAAGTATTAATGAAATGAAAGCTGCTGTAGGAATTAGTTGTAAGGTAGAGCCATTGTTGAAAGTGAAAATTAATGTATTCTGCTCCCGCACACACGGAGGAGAGGGCAGACAGAAATGTGGGCAAGTACTTTCGTGTTGTAGTAACCTGATGGTAGAAACTGTCTTCTCAACACTATATATACAAACAAGTTTTTTCCCCTTCTTTGGAAACTCTCCTGGGATTTGAACCAGTGCGGCTGTGGTATATAAGGGAAAGGGTTCCAAGGGAAGTGTACACTGCCTGCCCAGTTTAGAGCATAGTTCCACAGCGTATGCCAGAATACTGGCGTTAGGGGAGAGGACATGGCCCAAACGTCTGCTGATGCTGTGTGCGTACTGCAATTCTTTTCCCCTTTTGCTTTATGGGAGCGGTGGAAGTCAGTCTGTGCCTTGAAAGAAAAAATTCTTTTCATCCCAGAGCCCAGAAAAGCAACATGGGCTTAGGTAACCTGGCTAAGGTTTTGCCCTTTCCTAAGAGGGTTTACTTGATTCCTAGGACACTACTGGGATAGCTTTACACCATTTTTTCATGTTTCTCTGAGAAAACACAACTTGAGAGGATCTCAAAACAGCCTGTGAAATAGGCTGAGGGGGGAACAGGAAAGCAAAGCAATTTACTTGAAAGTAGCATACAGTGCGTTCAGCTATGTTTTCTGCATTGCAGGTCACTCACTATTTACTTGACAAGACACTCATCATAGATGAAGATACTTTGTATGAACTTTCCCTAAAGATTGAACCCAGACTCCCTGCCTGAAGAGCCAGCTTTGCCTCAGAGTCTGCAGAAAGCTTTGGAATAACAAACAAAGTTATGCATGCCAAGTCCTAAAGACAGCAAGGGAAATATTGAGAAGAGTGCAAGCTCTCTTTTCCAATGAGAAACACAGAGCCTCACAGCATTTCCCTCTCAGGCAAGGAAAATCAGCTGTTGGAGGTGGAAGATAAAGATGCTTCATGTCTGGGTTAAGTGATTGCTACTTTGCAATGATAATGTTTTGCAATAGGGATTATGCATCTAATGGAAAACAGGAGGCTTTCCTGGGAACAGGTACTCATTGTAGCCATCTTAATGTGACAAATTAAGGGGACAAGTGTAAATGGTAGTATCATATTCAGTTATATTAAGAAGAATGGAAAAAATGAGATGGCACTGAAGCGGCCTGGGTTGATTGCTAACTATGCATTCACTGAGGCAGTAGTGGTAGCGGTGTGCTCCTATATTATATTCACTGAAAAACTAGGATCTTGAGAGTCATCTGCTAGCCTGGAGAGGCATCAGGGTAATATCTAGTAACTTCAGTTCTATAGTTGTTCAAAACATTTGTTATACATTTAATGCTTCCCTTTATAAAACGTAACCTTCTTTAAATGTCTTATTAGCCTTATCTAAGATGATGGATTTCACAAATAAATGAACTAATCTTTGTAAATAATTTTTCGTTAATACGCAATGAGAATATTTACAGCATGGAAAGTAAATGAACTGTAGTTGAATAGCTGTAAATAGTTGCCAGCCTTGCAAGCTTCAGCTGGGAAATACGAGGTTAGGAGCTGTACCTGAGACTCAAGAAATCTGGACACACAGTGCATGGGATGGTTAGTCATGTTGCACACAGCCCTGAAAAAGGCACTTTAATTTTCTGCACCTGCAGCTTCCCTGAAAAGTCAGGTTACAAAGCACTTTCTGGACACACTGTTGAGAGAAATGAATGTCTGGACTGGCAATGGGTAGTGATCAGCAATGAACACTAGGAGTCGGAATGACTGTTTCATTTTACATGAAAGTAGTGGTTTAAAAAATGTCTATTTTTCGCTCAGTCATTCAGCACTGACTCAGCTCAAAATTCTTTTACATCAGTGGCAAACTTTGAATGCGTGCAGACACAAACTTTACATTTTTATTTGAACTGGTAACTAGCATTTGCATATGAACATACGTTTAAGAAAATGTGCTCTTTGTAACTGTTATAAAGCCTATGCTTTTGTGAGAAACCAGGTAGATAGATTTCATTTCTACAACTAGTTGATACTTCCTAGAATTTCCTAATCAAGTGTGGCCTGTTGTAGCTGCATGGAAAATGAGCTCAAATGCATGCTCTAAAGTACATCATAATATAAAATGCAGGTATTAGCACTGTTGAATAACTTGGCTGGAAAAGTGTCCTTACTTTTCCAATGATAATCAGCCAGTTGAAGACATAGGGCTATATCACTGTTTACCTCCCTTAAATCCTCTCAGGGAGATAGCTGTTTAAAATAGATTGTGACCTGGGTCTGTTTGATCTGACATTTCTTACCACAGTCATGATGCTTCTTAATGCTAACAATGAAAAATGAATCGGCCTGGCTTGTGGTTTTTGTCTTTATTTGCACTTTAATTACGTTGTTAGCCCAGCCAAGAGCTGCACAATAAATTCCATTTGTTCTGTCTGAGTGCAAGTGCTAGCATTTATAAATGTCCTTAGCAACTGTAAATTTTATTAAGGTTCCTCATCACAAGGACCGTCTCTTTGTAAATAAGTGCATGAGTAAACTTCAGAAATACTGGAAAATTCCTCAATTAGAAAAGCAGACAGCAACAAGAAAGGAAATTCCAGAAACATTTTGAATAGTTCTCACTAATTAATGCTGTAGAAGTGAACATGGAAAATATTATTTGTGGAAGCTTTTTGTCATCAGAAACTTACTTATTCTTTTCATTAATGACTGGCAGGAAGCGGATTGCATCCCAGTGCATGATTAAAAGAAAAGCATGGTTTATATGGACCACAAAACCAACTTACTGTGTATTTTCTGTACAAAAACAGTTACCAGATGTCAATTGCATAAAATACATTAAGGTTATGAAGAAATGGCAAAAAAGTGGTCCAAAAAGTGAGTTCTTAACTTGGTTGTATTGTTTCTCTGTTCGTAAAAAAAAAAAAGTATAAGAACTGTCAATGTCTTAACTGGCATCTCTGTTGTATGCTATTAACTGCTGCTTTATCTTCCTGTATCCCATTTTACCAAACTTCCTTGCTGTTCTTAGGGTTACAGGATGCAATTCCTCATCTTACTTATTTCATAGTCAGTTTGTTGTTTTATACTTTATGTACACATATTGGTTCTTTGGAGTTTCAAAACCTTCAGTGCATTAGTTAACCCTTGCAATACAAAGGGGTGGTGCAGGACTAGTGCTACAGTATTACAAATGAAGAGATGGGAAGACAAAGGGTTAGGGATGATTTTTTTTCAAATGTGCTGTGTATTCATATCTTAAAATCAGTAGACAATATCTTGGTTCAGCCCTTCTGGAAAAACATGTCCTATTTATATGCCAAAAGTTACATATTGGGTCAATGGCAGAATTTATGTTAGAGTTGCCAGAGTAACTAGATACTTGGTCTGTGTTTAGAACAAAAAAAATGGCTATGGTGACACTAATCTATTTGTTTTGCTGATGACTAACATGTTAATCTGTTTGGCTTGTGGATGCAATGTGTTCCTTAAAATACAGGAGATGACTGCTCAAAAATATGAGCATACCTCTTGTTATCTGTAATCCTAGTCACCGTTCCCAACCCTAATTGGAGCTGGAAAAGCTTGTTCTTTCTGCAGAAATCCTACAGAGGAAGTGTGGGATGGTATGTCTCCCCCAACAATCAGGTTACGTAATTCAAGTACATGTGGCCTGTGCGCCTGTGCTACAGTGCTGCTGCAATCTTTGAGCGGTGGCACCAGCTGGGAGGCAGCACCAGCCTGCTTTGTCTGAGACTTTGCCTGGTACGTCAGCATAACCAGCAGGTGCAGTGGCCTCTCTGCACAGTGCACAGGGGTTGTGGAGCTCCTTGCCTCCCGCTTCTCTGCACCCCTCCACCACAGCCACATGCTAATCATATATAGAGAAACAAGTCCTAATTGTAGAACACCCACTGTTTGCCACAGGCGAGATGTTTTCTAGTGAGGACTGTGGTCATAAGAAAGAGAAGGGCTGAAGAGCCGCTCTACCTGCCTTTCGTAGCTCCACAGTCCCCATGCACTGGTCAGATGCAACAGCAGTTCTTCTGTTCGAGGGGCTGCTCCCTGTCAGCGCTCTCTGGGCAAAAATGCCTCAGGGAGCGTGGGCTGGCTAGCTACAAAAGGGATGGCATAGTTCACCCACTGCCTCTGTTCAGCAGTGGGCACATTGCCAGTGAAGTCAGAGGAGAGTTTAGCAGTAAAAAAGCTGAGGCAGCAGACTGGATTCATCTGTAGTTAATGGGGAGCCTGGGCAGCAGCACCGACGCTGCCCTTTCATGTGACACAGAGCCTGTGCCACTGGACACGCTAATACGGGGTTAGAGTTGCCTTCACCCTGTAGGTGTGAAGGGGCAGGTCTCATGCTCTGCCCCTCACCCCTGATTAAATTCACCTGTGTTGTACGTGGCACTTCACATGAGTTAGTGGGCTGAGCCCATGATTAGTCATAAAGGGAAAGGAAAATAGATCTTCTGAATGTACAGTTGCAGTAAGTGTGTACTCTGTCCCTTTCTTTCAGCCAGTCCTGTAACATACACATGTGTAGGTTAACAGTGAGAGGTTCTGCTGCGACTGATCACCATTACTGAAAAGTAAGAAAAACACCTCTGTCCTCTTTCTGTTTTCCTAGTTCTTAATACTGATTGTTGTTTTTTAGGATAAAAAGGAATTTAACCCTTTATTTAAAGTATTTATTAACTTTAATCACATTGGTTTTGATTTCAGGACATGTTCATTATCTGAAGTTTTCCTTAATGATTGTTATTTATTTTAAGGGTTTTTTAAAGCATTGTTTTATTTGTATGGGTATTCAGTCTCTCCTTCTATCACTGTTATTAACCACATTAAACTCAGATACGTGATTTAAAATTCATGTTGATAGAGACATCTTAACCTAGTCAAAATTGTTATTAAATAGGGGCCAAAATCTTCAGTCCTCATTCTGATAATACCTTGAGCTTCACTGAGAGCTTTTCGTAAGTAAAGATTTGGGGATTTGGCTCTGGACTAGTTGCCTGTCACAATTTTTGCCTCCAAAGGTCAAATGTCTCTTGATGATATTTCATGTCCACCGTGCTGCTCACCTATGATTGTTTCGTTGTACCTTTACTTATGTAACAGTGTCTAAAATTTTATTCTTTAGGTGAACAGATGTGTGTTTATTTGACAGATGTACCTATAACTAACTCATTGCTTAGTGCACATCCAGATGTTTTTGCATGTGTTGTAACCTACCTTTTGACCTGAGGTTGTTGCTTTGTATTGTTGGTCAGGCATATCAGGCAGGGTGTTGTGCCTGTATGCTAATTAAACATTCTCTTTTTTTTCCGGAATTTCAAGAATTCTTACTTGCTTTTGTTTATTTTTTATTGCACTATGGTGAGTAAATAGCGGATCTGTAACCCACTGTTTCTGAATTACTGAGTCTTTTAGGGAAACATGGGAGGGGAAGGGAAAAGCCATTAATAGAAAGGGCAAAAGCAGAGAAAGTTCTGGCTGCTTCTGCTGTTGGAGAATTTGACTTCCTGCATTTTACCCTTTGCTCATTTATGCTGCTTTGAAACTGCTGTGGGCAACACTGAAGTTAATGCTAATTTGAATTTAGAACAAAGAACAAAGCCTTCTTCATGCACAACTAAAAATGCTGAGATCCACTGTGAAGTGTACAACATAAATTCCTAAACAAGACATATAACATAGATTAAACAGAACAAGGTGCACAGCTCATTCTTCTTGGTGGGCCAGAAATTGTGCTAAGGAAAGCTTCCTCCATTCCACACTATTATTCCCTCTATGCTCCTGTAGCAAGTTACAAATAGGTGGAGTTTAAACACCATTTTAGGAGGTGTTTAATGGCTTTCTGTTTCAATAGCATAGTTCTTTAAACAAGAGGCAATGATTTACACTAGTAGAAAGAAATAACATTGTGCCTAACTTCTTTCATTTGTTGCTTTGTTGTTGGGCTTTTGTCTAAACATCCCTAGCGCTCTCCTGGCTGGTGTTTCACTCTGGATTTAAAGACGTAGAATATAATTTCCTCACCTGCCATCCTATATCATCTTTGATAAGAATTAATAGCCAATAATTATGGATTCATGAATACACCATTCTTTCCTATTCCCTTTACAGTTGCTTTCCTTGGATTATCAACTTCAAAGGTAGTTCAGTAACATTAGGGTTCTCTGCTCTTAAAGGTGGTGGAATGAGTGTCTTTGCAATGAAACTAGTTCATGTTTTTAATAGGAGACTGCCCAAGTAAGCACAGAAAACATGTTAGATTTGTAAGTATAGTATGTCCCTCCTCTTCCAATAGAAAAGTAAAGCACACAGAGGTAAAATACCTTGCACACTGATGCAAAATAGTTGATGGCAGAGTTTAAGACTACAAAACCAGGTCTCCAGCTTCTGTAATATGCTTTAATCATTAAGTTTACTGCTTTCCTTTGTTGAAGTGGTTAATTTTTAAGAGGATATGAAGGTGCCTGTTTGTTTGTTTGTTTTTCACAAGAATTCACATATTTTAAGTAACTAAACAGTAAGATCAAACGAGGTCTGTGTAGGGTGGAGGTAAAGCAAGTGACATGTCTTAAAATCAGAACCTATTAGGTGTTTTGTGACCTTGCAGTCACATTTTCTGCAGTTTTTTTCACTTCTAGTATGTCACACAACTGAAATTGACTGAGAAAGCAACTTTTGAATTTGGCAATTTTTTTCTGTGTAAGAAAAAAAAAATCAAACTACTTGCCAAGCTTTTTCATATAAAAGTACTGGCTATTGTAGGATGATTTTCTTTTCAAGTTATTTCCCCACACTTTTACCATTTTATTAACCTTGTGCCAAGGAGCTGTCCAGTTTCACCTCTTTCTCCTAACACCATCATCATGGACTGTTGTCTAACAAGTATTTAGCAGAAGGATTTTTGTTTTCTGTATTTTGCTATGTTGCAAGAAAACAACCACAAAACACTGTGTAAAATGGTAGACTCACTGAAACAATCAAATCTCCTCCTAGGAAAGCTGAGAGCAGACAGCCCTTTTTAATCTTGCTTGTGAAGAAAGAGAGGGAAGCCGTCTGGTACATGCTGTTCGAAATCCTCCACTTTGTGAAGAGAAAATTGAAATCAGTCTTGATTAATTGTGCAAAGGTAATGAACAAGAATTGCTAGGATGGACCTATGCCTTGAAAGTTATATTTGAATGTTTTGGTCCTATCTGTGTATAACCTACGAGAAGTAAAATTTGAGAAAGGTAGATTTTTGCTTGAAATTTCCAGTTTGTGAGAGTACGGAAACAATTGTTGGTGTTCATTGCAGTTCTTTGGCAGAACCCACCCTGCATACATGGGTTGATAAGTGTAGTAGTAGAAGCTGTTTTAAATTTGTTTTCCTAGAGGCAGCAACTCCACTTTGTAAGCTGCTTTGAAGTAGACTGTGCTGATGCACATGGTGGGCACATGCCTAGCTAGATGGGTCAGAAACAAAGTAATATCCCTGCTTATTACTAAAGGTTTGTCTTCTCTCTGGCTACTGCCCACTGGAATCTCTTCCTTTATACAGATTGGAAATTGGTTTATTTTTTCATTCTAGATCCTGGATTTTAAATCAGTTGCAGCATCGTTCCAGTGCTGTTTTGTAAGGAAAATAAGAATCCTGCATGTGGAACGTCTAATATTAGAGATTCAAATCCACAGTTAGGATGTGTTTTGAGGAGAAATCAATGACCTGTTAGAATCTGAGCCTCCATCATCAGAAATGGCTGGCCATATTGGAGCAGCAGAAGGATCAGAAAGAATATCCTTCTCTGGGTTGGAGAGGATGATATCAAAGTTTTCTCTCATAAAGCAGTAACATTCATTTGTCGTCATATTCTCAACATACACTCTTGAGGAAAAAAGCACTTCGGTGAAATACAAATGCTCTTTTTTCATCTTTTTAATGATACAAAAATATCACACAAATATTATGCAAAAAAACTTTTCAGAGGACTGAAATTGTCTGAAATAAAATTATTGCCTCTTTCAAGCACATGATTCTACACTAGGCAATTCCTAACTTCAATCTCACTAATTAAAAACATATTCATTGTCATACTGTACAGTGCAGTCTATAACACAGCTGGCAAAAATAGAGCGATCACTTTTTAGACAATTATTCTGAAGGCCTCATGATTTTATTGTAAGAATTTTGGATATTCCTGCCTTTCCAAGGGGAGTCTAAGTCAAATCCATTTTAGGAAAGGCCCTTCTCCTTCCTTTGGCCTGAAAATGCACTGCTAATTATAGAGAACCTTTCCTTCAGTATGTGGTAGATGTCCTGTGTAGAGCAACTTCAATAACTTAAAATAACTAGGGTTATTTTTAACAGATTACCTGGACCCAGTTCAGCTCTTTATTTAGTTGACATATATTAGCAATAAAAAGGACCTTTCTTTGGAGTAACCATTTTGCCCATATAGTGACAGAGAGTGGGGAAATTACTGTGGGTTGTCTCTCATGACATGGCATGAGATGCCCACAACCGTAGGAGGACTGTTCTGTGCCTGCTCGTGCACCTGGTCAGCAGAGAACTTGTGCACATGCTTAGCACCCTTGCTTAAGTTCCATCAACTTCAACGGGATGTAAGTAGTGCCACCTCAAAACAGAGTATTTTCCTGGTTTGATATCTCAGTAGCTGCATATACTGGATGTTAAACATTCACAGTCACAGGGAAACCTCAATGAAAGGTTTTCCTGCTGTTGTTTTCCATTTGGTAAACAATGATATTTCTTCCACAACAGCCCAGGGTGGTATACTTCACTGTATTATTGTATGCCTGCCTTCAGGAATCCCAAGAATTAAAGACCCATTGAACTTGAACACCACTGATTTTCATGGAATCTGCGCCAAGCTGGCTGTTTGCTTCTAAGGATAATATGTGTATTAGCTCTTTGCAGCTGTACGGTTCCAGAACTCGGACTCCAACAGCAGGGGAGCTAATGATTAAGCATGCTTGCAAGCTCTTCAGAACAAAGATAGGATCCTCTAATTCCTAATTTGATACATGTAGTAAGTAACAACAGTAACTAGCCTTATAATTTCTTTCATGGTTTCTTGGATTACTAATAAATTATTTCCCATATATGGAAGTTTACTTTATACATTTTTTCTTTGAAACAAACATGCCAATTAGAAAGGCCTTCTCCTAAAACAAAATGACCTTAGTTGTAGTCTGTATAGGTAACTTCCCTGTTCAACAGCATCCACAACAAATTCTAGTGAGGCACAATTTATTGCTGAATTGTAGCTGAACTCCCTGTGTGGGGACAGTTGACATTAATATGAATAGCAATTGGGTTAACACTCAGCTACCATTACCTCCACAGCACAAGCACTGAAAGCAAGAGAGCATTTTAATTGGGAGGTTTCACATAAATATTTAGGTTAGATAGAGATGAAATTAGGGCATTATTTATGGATGGTTCTTAGCGTTCCAACTGTTTCTGTAGCTGAGTTCCTTAGAAAAAGGATCAAAGAACAGTTGTTAGACCAAGTTATTTTTCAAGTATTAATGTTAATTATATGTTCTTCAGCAGTCAGAAGGGAACATGCTAATACCATTTGCCAGATGTTTGTGATGTTAGTTAGCAGACTGAGTTTTATGTGCATCTTCTGTTCTTCTAGGCTCTGATCTGGCAAATAACTTAAACATCTGCTTAATTGTAAGTCAGCAAGGCATTTAAGATCATGGTTCCATCAAATTAACTGAGATGAAGTCTTTGTGCATTCAGGGACTTTATGAAAAATGAAATGTTTAGTCAAAAGTTTAAAATGTGGTATAAGCCTCAGTTGCTGCACTGCAACCTGACTGTGGGGGCTGCACTACAAACAAAAAATTGGCAGCCTGCACAGAAGTAATGTTAGTACGCAAAGCTCTGCATCTATTGCAGAACGGGGTCCTTACAGCCAAAGCAAAAGATGTAACACAATCATAAAGTAGCCCTTGCCAGGGATGAAAGGAAAATCTGGCTTTTGTTTTCTTTGCTGATTCCTGACAGGGCAGATTTGTTTTATATTGCTTTTGTGCTCATATTTCTATACGCGCTTTACCTCACAAAGATGCTCAGTTGGCTTTTTTGGATCAAAACCAAAAATGTAGCATTGGGCTGATAAAAAACAGGTGCAGTAAAGAGGGGGTGCTGCAAATACTAGGCAGTTCAGATGGATTGCTCTGAGGTGGCTGCTTTGGTTTTAATTATGGTGGGTATGCCTGGCTTCCTCATTAATCTAAACAAGTTGTGACACTTTGGGGGAGACATACCTATGTTTTGCAAAGTTTCACAGATCTGAAACAGGTT